GCCAAAGATTATTGGGGAATATAAACCTGGATATGCGTATGGAAATGTCAAGACACACAAGCCTGGAAACCCACTTCGGCCAATCATTAGCCAGATACCCACACCCACGTACAGACTAGCGAAGCGACTCAACGGCCTGCTGACTCCTTATGTCCCTTGCGCCTTCAGCCTGAAGTCGCCAAAGGAATTTGTTGACTTACTGCGGGGCACACGGGCCACAGGAATAAGAGCCTCGTTGGACGTAGAATCGCTGTTCACTAACGTACCAGTGGACGAGACAATCGGGATGATAGCCGACAGAGTGTATCGTGATCCAGCCTGTACTCCTCTTGACATACCAGAAAATATCCTAAGGAAACTACTCCAAGCTTGTACTAAAGAGGCACCCTTCTTGAGCCCGGATGGGCACATGTATAAGCAAGTAGATGGGGTCGCCATGGGTTCTCCCCTAGGTGTCCTGTTTGCAAACTTCTACATGGGTACCATCGAGCAAAAAGTCTTAGTCGACATGAACATGAAACCGGCCATATACTGCAGGTATGTTGACGACATTTTTACACAGGTACCTGATGTCAGACATCTGCAGGAGTTGAAGGAGGCATTTGAGCGGAGTTCCGTGCTGCGTTTCACTTACGAGATGGAAAAGGATGGGAAGCTGCCCTTTCTAGATGTAACAGTCATGGAAAAGAGCGGAGGTTTCCACACTGCAGTCTACACTAAGGAAACGAACATAGGAATGTGCCTAAATGCCAAAAGCGACTGCCCAGATAGGTACAAGAGGAGTGTTGTTAACGCATATGTCGACCGTGCTCTCAGCCACAGCTCAGAATGGAAGCAAGTCGACGAAGAACTCTGTAGGGTAAGGCAGGTCCTAGTCAACAACGGCTTCTCCAATGGTTTCGTCGAAGACATCATAAGAAGGAAAGTGAAACGCCATGCAACCTCTGAAGAGACAACCAACACAACACCTATACCCCCTATTAGACTATTTTACAGGAACTTCTTTTCCACAGCTCATAAAACGGAGGAAAGGGTCCTGAAAGATATTGTTAATAGAAACGTTATCCCTACAGACAAAAATCAGAGGATACAACTGACGATTTACTATAAAACCAGAAAAACGGCCAGCCTACTCATGAGAAACTCTCCAGACACAAAACAGAACGCTTTAAAAGAGACTAACGTCGTCTATGCCTTCAAATGCCCTCTTGGGGACTGTAAGCTCCAAAAAAAACAGTATATAGGCAAGACAACAACATCTCTTTCTAGGCGTTTAACGATGCATAAGCAACAGGGCTCCATTAAGGAACATATAATCTCTTCCCACAACCAAACCATCGCCAGAGAAATCCTAGTAAACAACACAGAAATCATCGATAGATACAGCGATAGCAGGCGGCTTGACGTTTGCGAGGCATTACACATCAAGAAGTCAACACCAGCAATCAACAGCCAATTAATGCACAACTATATTCTACCCACCTCAAGACTCCGCTCCAATATAGAAGCATCAAGAAATATGGACCAATAGGCTTTCTACAATCACTTCTATTCAATACCCATTGTTTCATGTTCTGGCTTGTGTTGATGAAATTAATACCTTATTAAATACCACCTCACCCCATCCACCTCACTCAAATGTAGATATAAACAAAATCGGAGATGTGTAAGTTCTATTCAGTTGTGTATGTGTTAACTAAAGTCTTTGAAAATGTAATAAGTTTTACGAAACGCGCTCAAGTGTCGCGTCAGACTAGAAATAAAAATGAATTTTGGAGAATTGATTTTTGAATTACCTCCAACAGTGAAAAGAAATGTACGAAAGATTGAGAAAATTCGTGTTAGAATTATTAATCTTACTTTTTCGGTCATATTTAATAATATATGTCTACAGGAAAGACTGCTACCAAAATATATATATATATATATATATATATATGTCGTACCTAGTAGCCAGAACGCACTTCTCAGCCTACTATGCAAGGCCCGATTTGCCTAATAAGCCAAGTTTTACTGAATTAATATATTTTCTCTAATTTTTTTCTTATGAAATGATAAAGCTACCCATTTCATTATGTATGAGGTCAATTTTTTTTTATTGGAGTTAAAATTAACGTAGATATATGACCGAACCTAACCACCCTACCTAACCTAACCTAACCTATCTTTATAGGTTAGGTTAGGTTAGGTAGCCGAAAACGTTAGGTTAGGTTAGGTTAGGTAGGTTAGGTAGTCGAAAAAACATTAATTCATGAAAACTTGGCTTATTAGGCAAATCGGGCCTTGCATAGTAGGCTGAGAAGTGAGTTCTGGCTACTAGGTACGACATATATATATATATATATATATATATATATATATATATATATATATATATATATATATATATATATATATATATATATATTGGTGTATACTGGCAGCAGGTTTTCTTTCAAACATGTTTCATTGAATATGACCGCATATTCTGTATTTATTATTTTCTGGTTTAGGGCTTCTATCCCTCTAACTATTTTCTTAGCATCAGGGCTTAATTGGAATAGGAGTTCTCCAAAACTCATTTTCGTACTTTTAAGGTGAAGAAAAGAAGTGATTTACTATAGAGTGTATTACACTTATTTGTATAATTTGCACGACGTTTCGAACCTCCATGGTTCATTCTCAAGTGAACAGATCTTACAATACTAGTTGATTTTATACCCGCATTAGGTCAGGTGATAATACAATGAAGGTGAAAAACATGGGGGGATACATAAGGGATAAACATAGGGGCTGCAGAAGGCTTATTGGCCCATACGAGGCATCTCCTATCTAAACACAAAGATTAATCCAGTGTAATTGGCCTGTTATGTTGGACATTGTCTTCTGTGTTGGCATCGATATGTTCTTGTCTTGTCCTTACTCTCATGGTGGGTAGAGTAAATAGTTCCGTGATTTGGGTGTTCATGGTAGGTCGCTCTATTCTTATGTGAATTGCCTCAAGAATTTGTAATCTTATGAGGCAATTCACATAAGAATAGAGCGACCTACCATGAACACCCAAATCACGGAACTATTTACTCTACCCACCATGAGAGTAAGGACAAGACAAGAACATATCGATGCCAACACAGAAGACAATGTCCAACATAACAGGCCAATTACACTGGATTAATCTTTGTGTTTAGATAGGAGATGCCTCGTATGGGCCAATAAGCCTTCTGCAGCCCCTATGTTTATCCCTTATGTATCCCCCCATGTTTTTCACCTTCATTGTATTATCACCTGACCTAATGCGGGTATAAAATCAACTAGTATTGTAAGATCTGTTCACTTGAGAATGAACCATGGAGGTTCGAAACGTCGTGCAAATTATACAAATAAGTGTAATACACTCTATAGTAAATCACTTCTTTTCTTCACCTTAAAAGTACGAAAATGAGTTTTGGAGAACTCCTATTCCAATTAAGCCCTGATGCTAAGAAAATAGTTAGAGGGATAGAAGCCCTAAACCAGAAAATAATAAATACAGAATATGCGGTCATATTCAATGAAACATATATATATATATATATATATATATATATATATATATATATATATATATATATATATATATATATATATATATATATATATATATATATATATGTCGTACCTAGTAGCCAGAACGCACTTCTCAGCCTACTATGCAAGGCCCGATTTGCCTAATAAGCCAAGTTTTCATGAATTAATTGTTTTTCGACAACCTAACCTACCTAACGTGACCTAACCTAACTTTTTCGGCTACCTAACCTAACCTAACCTATAAAGATAGGTTAGGTTAGGTTAGGTAGGGTTGGTTAGGTTCGGTCATATATCTACGTTAATTTTAACTCCAATAAAAAAAATTGACCTCATACATAATGAAATAGGTAGCTTTATCATTTCATAAGAAAAAAATTAGAAAAATATATTAATTCAGGAAAACTTGGCTTATTAGGCAAATCGGGCCTTGCATAGTAGGCTGAGAAGTGCGTTCTGGCTACTAGGTACGACATATATATATATATATATATATATATATATATATATATATATATATATATATATATATATATATATATATATATATATATATATATATATATATATAATAAATAAAATATACATACATACAACCCTGGTGGGGGGACTCGAACACTGGCCAACAAGGTGGCAGTTGCATGCTGTATCCACTACACCAAATTTCAAAGCCCTGGTGGGTTGTGTGTCTAAAAAGTTATAAAACTTCAGCTGTAGCTTCAGCTTCAAACTTCAGCTGTAGCATTTGGCTTCAAACTGAATTTAATGAAACGCCATTTACTAGGTGAGCCCCGGAGGCTCCCTGGCTACCCTCCTTCCCATCCGGTCGGCGAGATTTTTCGCGTTGGTTGAAGCCTAGTTTCCGAACTGAAGGCAGCCGGCGTGGTGAGGTCTGGGGCCCCCCCTCCCCCTCCCGGGGAGGGGAGGGCTGCACGGACGACCGGCGCGGCAGTAAATTGATTGTTTGATTGTTTTCCTTGAGATTGTAGGGAGTTTTCTACCTCTCTGTTCGGTTTTTGTTGTAGTTTCTTACCATGTGGGGTTTGTTTTGTTACGCCTACCTTTCTGGGTGCCTAACCCCGGTCGATGGCAGATAAGGAAAACCCCCAACCATATGGGGTTTTCCAGGGCCATTGCTCCCTGAAACCTCTCTGAAGGGGCCAGGTTCTGGCGCTGGTCCCTGGTAGGTCTGAACTCCATAGCTAATGTCCCGGTCTAACATAACATACATTAGCCCGATAAGCTCCAGGGCGCCTCCGGGGCTCACCCAGAAAATGGCGTTTCATTACATTCAACGCTGGTTTTATCAAGTGCTAGCCCATTAAATAATTTTAAAGGTATTCTTTAAGAAAGTTACAGAATATAAAAAGCTATTTTTAGCCATCAGTAAGATTAATTAATCATTAGAATTATTTAAATAAGAATCTTATTAAACCTTCTATTTTGTTAACTTGCAGGACGAGACACCAACGTGTTCATATACATAAAAAGACGGCTTGCCATGTGTGCCAGAAAGTTAGGCAAAATGAAGGAGGCAATAAAGATGTTCCGAGATGTGAGTAATGACACATTAGTGTATCTTGGGTAGTTTCCTTGACTATGCTGAACATTGTAATATAGTAGTTTGCTGGAGGAACTCCTTGGTGGCTCCCTGTAGCTATTTTACTTGAGAGTGCTTTCATATTCCAGTTGTATCATTTGCATGAGTTCATTTGGCCTGCCAGGGACCACAGCCAAAAGTCTGGCCCCTTCACGTGAGGTGCAGGGAGCTAGTACTATTCCACCATTTCACCAGGAAAGCATCCAGAAAGTCAGCAAAACATTACAGACATCAGCTGGGTTCACAAGATTCAAGTCACTAAAATGCCAAATAACTCCAAAAAAAGAAAGAAAAGCAAACACTCAAAACTGGCTAGAACCCAGAGGTACTGAATGCTGCCACCAGGCAGCTGGGTGCTCAGTCCAGCATCAATAATTAAATCAATTCATCTCCTGATACATAGCCCAGAAGTGCTCCTTTGTCACATCATCTTGCAGCACATCTCAGAGCTGCAAGATGTTAACCAAACCTCTTAACTGGTTGAAATTGCAACCTATATCTGAACAGAGCCAAAGAACTCCCCCCAATTAAAACAATGAAACAAACAACACGTCATCCAACTAGTGCGCCCGCTCGTTAGTGCCTCCCGCTTCCCCGACTGAGGGGAGGGTGATCTCGCTCAGGCGAACCAGCTGCACCACCCTCAGTTCGTAGACTGAGGTGCCGGTGTTCACATGTCCTCTCTGGTCTCAATTTTTGTCTGGCTTTACATTTGTGACTTTGCCAGCTGTGTTGTGTGGTGGCTATGTGTTCCTCTAAGTATACTGGGTTGCATGTACCTAGGGTTCCCTTCCCTAGGTGGTTGGTAACCCTGACCCCTTATGGGTCAGGGTTACCTTCCCTGGGTCGTTTGGGTCTCACTCCCATTTAAGGACTTCATCGCTTGGTGTTTTCACCCTTGGGGTTCTCCGGGAGTCTTGGGCTTGCCCCGGGTAGGGAATGGGTTTGTGCTGGGTGGGGTGCACTGTGGCTGACGCAGCTTGCATTCAGCGGCGACTGAGGATTCTCTCTGGAGATCGGTTAGGCTGTGTGTGTTGTTTCGGGGTACTTTTTGTTTCTTTGTTTTAGCGCATTCTCGCTTCTTTGGCAGAGAAGGTTTGCCTAACTTCCCATTAGGCTAGCCTAGGCTGTGTGTGGTAGTCCTCCTCTGTTGCCCCGAGGTTTCACTGAGCCACCGGTTGTCAGTTTGCCTGCAGCAGACAGGAGTTACCGGCTTAGCTGGCTCCAGTGCCTAGGCTTCCCGTGGGGCTAATGTACCCTATGGGGTCCTGGAAATCCCTGTAGGGCTCGGATACCATGGACGTGTCTTCCGAGCCGTCTTGCCTTGTGCGATGTCGAGGGGTGTTTGTTGCCTTTGCCTCGTGGTGACGATCATCCATTCTGCCTCTGTCATGCTGCCTGTTGGGTCAGTGACACCTACGACCCTAAGTTTCGGAACATGTTCACAGCATGTTATTCAGTTTACCGATTCCTCGTCTGATGATGTTAAGAGGTCAGGCGGCAACTTGGTTGCAAGCTAGGTATTCTGTGTTGCAACAGGCCAGGTTGGTTGCCTGGTTGGAAGCCCCTGTAACGGCCCTGGAGCTGCCCCATTTGGATTTTAGGTGCCAGAATTTAGGGGCGTTGGTTACTTCAACCTTGGTTCTGTCCTGACACTTGCTTCCAGGTGGGCGTTGTTCGCCCTGCTCCTATTCCCCTGCTTTCGGCTCCCAAACGTCTGAGGGTTTCCATGCTGGGGCGAAGATTAGCTTCTCTGGCTTCTGATGAGACTCGGGTGGCTTCGGGGGTTGCCCCTTCCGACTTGGGAAAGAAAGCTTCTTCCTTGGACTCTCTTTTCTTCAAGGGTAGTGGGTTTGGATATGGGCTCTGCCTCGGGGCTCGAGGCAGAGCCCATATCCAAACTGCAGATCCAAGCCATACCCCACTGTGCAGCTTCCCCCCTCCCGGGGAGGGGGGAGCGGCATAGGCAGCGGCACGGTGACAATTGTGACGTCATGCTCGTTTGCTTGCTTGGGGAGTCTGTCCAACAGTTCGGCTTTCAATAGTAATATTTTAACCAGATAGGGTTTGTTTTGGGGAGCCTACCTTTCTGGGTGTCTGACCTGGTCGATGGCAGACATAGAGAAGACAGAGACCTTCAACCACACAGGGGTTTCTATAGGCCATTGCTCCTCGGGCCTCTCTGAGGGCCAGGTTCTGGCTCGTGGTCCCCGGTAGGCCTAAGAACTCTCTTCACTTTGACTGATGCCAGGGTCTAATACATTCATATCAGCCCGGATAGCTCCAGGGAGCTTCCGGGTCTCGCCCAGAAAATGACATTTCATTACATTCAATGCTGATTTTTTGCATATTTGTTAATGGATAATTAAAGGAATAGATAACAAAAATTATTTAAAACTAGAATTTGTTTATAAACAATAGTTAATTGATGACAGTCACAAACATATTTAACTCTGTTATAAATACAGTACTATTGCTCATAAGTTTTAAATATATTCACTACCTGTACTTTTATTTTACAGCTAACAAAGGAAGTGCCTCCAATTATGAATGTCCTAAACCTCCATGAAAATCTTCTCGAGGCATTGTTAGAGGTTGGAGCGTATGCTGATGCTCAAGCAGTTCTTGCCAAATACGATGACATTGCACTTCCAAAATCTGCTACAATATGTTACACTGCAGCGCTTTTGAAAGCACGGACAGTAGCTGACAAGTAAGTCCCAAATGCTTTTATTTTATTCACACTGGGTGGAGGTGATGTGAAATGTCACACGGTGGCTGTGTTGTCTGGCGTCTGTCATCACACGGTAACGATTTTGCTGACACAGTATGAGAGATACGACTCCTGTGTTTTATTTTGGATGCTTTATTTATCATTTGATTTTCCTATGTTTTCAAGAGTACAGTACTGTATGGGTGTTGAACAACTTGATGTCACATAATTCACAAAAAAATACTATTGCATACATTTCTAACTTATAATTATAAAATGTTTCTAGTTTACAATGTATACATATGTACATTATTTACAATGTCCCAGTACTTGTTTATACTTCAGTACTTTTTCAACATATGGTAGTCTCTGACACTGACAGTCTACTTCCCAACACGGAGACCAACTCCACACGCGCCATGTATGCATGAGTTTTCATTTCGGCAGCCCCTCTCTCACTGTGCCTGCACACATGGCATTCTCTTGCCATTGTATTTATCAGCTGATAGGACAGATTGTTATAACATCAAGTTTTACTCTTGTGCGTTGGCCACGGAAATGGTCATTTCTGCCTATGTGCAAAAAATAAAAATATTCCAAGAAATATTCTTTCATTAGTTTGTATTCAAAATGTAAGAAAAACATGAAAATACAGTAAGTGAATATTTATTGTTTAATTGGGTGGAGGCGCTCGGGAAGGTTGCCTGTCAACGCCTCGTGCTTGACTTTGCTGACACTTCCTGTGTTATCCTCCAATGTTGCACCACTTGTTTCTCTTTCTTAACAAGAGTGTGTGTGTTTGAATAACTTAATAAATCACATAATTCACATAACACATGATAATGTTTCAATTGATGGTTGGTTTACCTGGTATATTCCATTGCAAGCATATAGAGTAATGAAAAATATATGAACATACAGTAATATGCAATGGTGTTGCACTCTGGGTGATGACAACTGGCCTAATTGGCACCATATGGGCGAGTGTACAGACTGAAACAAAGGCGTAAGCTACCAAGGTGCACCCAGATGATGAGTGTCATATGATGATAACCTCATTCACCTAGAAAGTAACTAATGAGTTACAGGATTTAGTAGTAATTATGGAGAGCAGGATTTTTTTTCCAAAGGTCAAGGAAAACTCCATTTCATCCACATAGACCTTCTACTGTATATCCTTATTTGTATCATCCAGGTAAAATCCAGTCAATAATTATGTAAATTGTCATATTACGATAACCCCATTCATCTAGTGAGTAACTAATGAGTAACAACATTTATTAGTAACTAATGAGAGTAGGATTTTTTCAAGAATCAAGGTAAACTCCATTATATCCACATTGACCTATTATATCCTTATTTGCATCATACATGTAAAACTCAGACAAAAATGATTTAAATTGTCACGTGCTGATAACCGCATTACCCTGTGAATCAACATGTGATGATAACCACTGCCTTAGGGTTAAGCTCGATGTTGTACCTTAAACCAAAGCAAATAGTAATAGGGAAGTTTCTGTACCTTGAAAGAAACTCATGTGTATGGGATTTTTTATTTAAATTAATTTAAGTACAGTACAGTAGTTTATAATAATTATTATTATAAACTAACTTTATAAGTATTTATAATTTATAAGTAGTTACTATTATAACCGAGTTAACTTGATAGATTATTATAGCATGGAAGTTAACTAAGATATAGTCACAGTAGTAGTCTATATCCTAGTTACAATTAATAATTCATGAGTGATGCAGTTACTCATTTCAACTGAGTGTAATTAAATTACGCAGTACAGTGTTGTATATTTAACACGGGTGCTGCACATTTGACGTGGTTGGCGGTTGCTTGCATAGCGAGGTCGTGACCCTTGGCTGACCTCTAAAGTACCCTTGGGATGTGCACGCCGCGCAGCCCGCCGCAATCCGATTCACTCATTTCCTTCATACAGAAACTTTCCTGCTTTTGCAAGGAGGATTATTTTGTGCTTTAAAATCACTTTTAATAAATTTATGATGAATTATACTAAAATTGTTGTTTAAATAAAGCTTATGAATATATATATATCTTATTTGCAGATTTTCTCCAGATATAGCCAGTAAACGTGGCTTAACAGCAGCAGAAATGGCTGCGGTTGAAGCCATTCATCGGGCAGTGGAGTTCAATCCGCATGTTCCAAAGGTAACTAGCCACATTTACAAGGTCTGCATTAATATAGTGACTAGTCCAGCCCAGAATTTGGATTAAACATTGTAAAAGACTGTTTAATCAAGCAGCCAGTAAGAGCTCTGAAGTAGCTATTGTAATTGAAAACAGAGAGAAATTAGTTTAGTCTTAAGATACATTGATCATATTTTTTTTATAATGATTGTAGTGTTCAAAAATATAGCCTAGTATAAAGTTATATGACGTTCAGATTTAATATCCATTGCACAACGAAGGGGTTTTCAATTTGTTTGGGAACATCCTGAAATGTACATCATTGTATTTGAGTCAGTTCTGCAGGAGGGATGTAGGGGAAGGCCACACACCTTAGAATTTAAGATATGTAACATCAAACAGTCTTCTATGCTGAAGTTGCACAATATGTAAATCAGACTAGGCTTTAGTACACTTGGGCTGCAATTTGTGCAGAATTAGGATTATGCAAGTAAGCAATTTCATAGACAAATTTTAAATACACAAGCAAAACTCGCCTTGTGTAGCTTGAGCAGCACTATTTTATTTTAAATGCAGTAAGAAAGCCAAAAATAAGAGTTTCATCATGTCAGGCGTAAATAAAACAAAATTTCATGTAAGAAACGGTTAGGCACATGCATTTGCACGGAGCAAGATTTGTGGCTATCATCACTGAGGGTCAGTCTCAGCGAGGGTCAGTCTCGGCGAGGGTCAGTCTCGGCGAGGGTCAGTCTCGGCGAGGGTCAGTCTCAGCGAGGGTCAGTCTCAGCGAGGGTCAGTCTCGGCGAGGGTCGGTCACGGCGAGGGTCAGTCTCAGCGAGGGTCGGTGTCAGCAAGGGTCAGTCTCAGCGAGGGTCAGTCTCAGCGAGGGTCAGTCTCGGCGAGGGTCAGTCTCGGCGAGGGTCAGTCTCGGCGAGGGTCAGTCTCAGCGAGGGTCAGTCTCAGCAAGGGTCAGTCTCGGCGAGGGTCAGTCTCGGCGAGGGTCAGTCTCGGCGAGGGTCAGTCTCGGCGAGGGTCGGTCTCAGCGAGGGTCGGTCTCAGCGAGGGTCGGTCTCAGCGAGGGTCAGTCTCAGCGAGGGTCGGTCTCAGCGAGGGTCAGTCTCAGCGAGGGTCAGTCTCGGTGAGGGTCAGTCTCTCACTTACCACAAACTCTTCTCTTGTATTCATTCTTTACCTATAAGCAACCTTATCCTTACTATTTTACCCTAAAAATCTTTAGGAAAATCATAAGTACAGTATTGTAGGTGACATTTTTAACGACGAGAGCTATAAATAATTGCAACATGGCATCGGGGAACCTGTCATCCAAAAGTTATGATAGTGTACACTGTAGTTAAAGTTCAAATGGCTGGTGCTGCAAAATATAGACTGTTGCTCCCAAAACTGTTATGTACTATTACTTTTGTAGAGAGCTTGAGAAAGAAGGCAAGAACCAAACCTAACTTTTCCTAGGGCTAGTATGGTACTGTTCATATAATTTCTAAATTAGGTCCATGATTGCATATGTTAGGTCCATGATTGCATATGTTAGGTCCATGATTGCATATGTTAGGTCCATGATTGCATATGTTAGGTCCATGATTGCATATGTTAGGTCCATGATTGCATATGTTAGGCCCAGGATTGAATATGTTAGGCCCAAGATTGCATATGTTAGGCCCAGGATTGCATATGTTAGGCCCAGGATTGCATATGTTAGGCCCAGGATTGCATATGTTAGGCCCAGGATTGCTTATTTAGGGGTAGGACAGGTTAGGTTAGCTTTCTGGTTAGTTTTTGTTAATTTTTATCCCCCTTTAGATTCCCAGTAGTAGAAAACATAAACTTTGTGGGGGTGCAACAGTCCATGTTTTGTACACTTGATCAAAAGTAGCTGTAGGTTTTATCATTTTTGGAGGATAGGTTGGCTTCGATTAGCAGTTGCTGATTGTGCCAACATTCTTTTACCTACACCTTTCATTATTTGCACATAATGTGAACTATGGGAGAAATAATTTTACTAACAAGAGAATCAATTAAAAAAGTTACATGTTTAGCAGTTCTAGTGTACAGGAATATCAAACTCCTTGTAATATTCCCTAAAAGATTACAAACAAACCTGCAATCTTGCCAAACTCCTTCACATATGCACATAACAGTGCAGTTTACTATCTGGAGATAGGTCTACCAGCCATTTTGGTAAGGTAAGGGCACACTGTTGAGTAAAGGGCAGATAAAAGTGAAATTTTGGAGGTCTAGAACCTTACTCTATTTTCCCTCATAAATCTCATGTTTGATTAGCACAAATTTTATATGTGCATAACTTTTTGAGGAACATAATTCGTGTGCTGATAAAGAGCTGCCTGTATAAACCTGGTAATCCACTGTATACCTGTACTAAGCTCACAAACCATCGTATTCACAGTTTATTTTGCAGAGCAGTTTATATAAGCAGAGGGATGTTTACTCTGCGCGATCAAACAACAACACTGTCGTCGGAGGTGTCCAAGAATTTGCGGGAGCATTTGGAAGTGGTTTTCTCGTTACCGAGCAGAAGCGTGTCAATCGAGACAAATTTTCTGCGTGTGGCTCGCTCGTTACCTGAAATGCTTGTAGATGGGGCTACTCGTCATCCGATGTTCCTTTATATTTACTGGAAAAGGTGCCTGGTGGTGCTCAGGATAGTCTCTCTAGTCTCTCTGCGGGCTCTTTTCCCCTCTTCTCTCCTGCTCTCCTTCCCCCATCATTCCTCCCCCTCCTCTCCCTCCCCAATCACCCCCCCTTCTCCCCACCCTGTCCCCTTCCTCTTCCCCCCTCTTCCACATTTTCCCCTTCACCCTCTCCCCTCATTTTCCCTCTTCCTCCCTCTTCCTTGTGTGGCCTCCAATCTTGAATGACTCATTCCCATTTACTGTGCTGTATATATAACCTCATCCTCAAGTGATAGTACCTTTTGTAACTGTGGTCGATCATACCAGTGTGTAGTACTGGAGCCCCCAGTAAGCCACTTTTTGTACATTTTCTATGTGAAAGCCCTGTCGGCTCCCTGGAGCTATTGGACTGGTATTAGCTAATATTAGTATGGGGCTTCAGTCATATGGAGTTGTCATGCTTACCAGGGACCATTAGCCAGATCATGGTCACCCTCAAAGAGGTAAAGGGTGCAATAGCCTATGAAACTCACATGTATGAAATGATTCATGTCTGCTATCAACCGGGGTTGAGCACTCAGAAAGGTAGGTGCTTCAAAACAGACCCCTCCTGGTAGAAATATTACAACCTGAGACCGAACAGAAGCGAGAAACACCCCAAGGAAAAACAAGCAAACAAGCAACACCTTCACCTCTGAACCAGTGAAGAGCAGAGGTGCCATAGGCACAATCAGAGAGCACTGTATAAACATCAGAGGTCCACGGTTGTTCAACGTCCTCCCAGTGACTAAGAAATATTGCCGGAACAACCGTGGACATCTTCAAGAGAAAACTGGACAGTTTTCTAAGAGAAGTTCCAGATCAGCCGGGGTGTGGTGGGTATGTGGCCCTGCGGGCTGCTCCAAGCAACAGCCTGGTGGACCAGACTCACAAGTCGAGCCTGGCCTCGGGCCGGGCTTGGGGAGTAGAAGAACTCCCAGAACCCCATCAACAAGGTATCAACCAGGTATCTCATCACACCGCAATATTTCTACCAGGAGGGGTCGGTTTTAAAGAACCTACCTTTCTGGGTGCTCAACCCCGATCGATGTCAGACATGAATTCTTTCATACATGCGAGTTTCACAGGCTATTGTGCCCCTTTACCTCTCTGAGGGGACCATGATCTGGCTAGTAGTCCCCAGTAGGCATGGCAACTCCATATGACTGAAGCCCGTACTAATATTAGCTCCAGGGAGCCTCCAGGGAGCTTCCAGGGCTCTACCCAGAAAATGGGTAATGTTCCTTGTTAATGTTCCTGGCCCTTCTTGGGCTTGTGTAGCCTTGGGTCGCAGGTTGCAGCCAGTTGTCTTGACTTCGAGTTGAGGAGTGAGTGGCGGCCACCTCCTGGGTAAGTCCCTCTTACTTTCTTTGGTTAGGTAGCCCCAGGGAGACAAAGAGGCTCTCCACAGAAAACCAGTGTTGAATGTAATGACACACCGTTTTCTAGGTGAGACCTGGAGTCTCCCTGGCATCCCTCCCTCCCTCCCTCTGGTCGGTGTTTTTCTGGGGGGAGCCCCGTCGGCTCCCCGGAGCTATCCCAGGCTGATATGCTAATGTCAGACTTTGGCATCAGTCATGTGTATGGAGTTCTTAGGCCTACCGGGGACCACGGCCAGAACCGGGCCCCCTCAGAGAGGCAAGGGGAGCAATGGCCTATAGAAGCCCCCGTGTAGTTGGAAGCATTCTATGTCTGCCATCGACCGGAACAGGCACCCAGAAAGGTAAGCGCCCCAAAATAAACCCCTATTCTGGTTAAAATTGCTACCTAATACCGAACTAGTGGATAGAACTCCCCAACCGAAAACAAGCAAATTAGTGTGACGTCACACACTGCCGCGCCGCTGTCTGCGCAGCTCCCCCCTCCCCGGGAGGGGGAAGGGGGAGCCCCAGACCCCCCGCGCCGGCTACCCACACCTCAGTTCTTGAGGCTGATGCTATAGGCGATGGTCGTGTGCTCTGGCTCCGGTGTCGCTACTGCACTGTGCTTTGAGTGTGGTGTTAGTTTTGTGGGTGCGAGAGCCAGGAGTTATCTTCAGTACTCGGGCTGCATGCGCCTAGGGCTGCCTTCCCTAGGTGCCCTGTAAGTACTGCCCTTGGGGCTTGGGGCCACCTTCCACAGGCTCCTCGGGGTCTGCCTCTGCTGGTCCGTTTTACCTTTCGGTTTTTCGGCCGCCTGTTGGGCTCTTGGGTGTTCTGTTCTCCCTTGTTACCGGCAGGTAAGAGGCAGTTTGCACTGGTAGGGGCGCAGGGTGCTGCTCAGCTTGTAATTCCCGACATCGCGGCCGGCTCTGTTCCTTGGGGTTCGCTGTCCTCTTGCGGGGTTTTGTTTTTC